ATCTCCTTTCTGCAGTGATCTCATTCACTCACTCCACCACCCCAGTCTTTCATCTGGGATAATACTGCTGACCTGACATAAGGTACAGGGTTGTAAGAACTTCCAACACAATAAGATAGGGCAGCATTTTAACACTCTAATGCATGTTTTTACAATGCATATTGTTAGTATATTTTCCTCTATATCTTGTCATTTTAATTTACACTTCAATGCAGTTCAAAGAAGGATTGGATACATTCATGTAGGAACTGAAAAACTCATCATTTCAGATGGTCAGTAACCAGAAATAAGTGGTGGCTGATTTAGATAGATGCCCAAAGTCATCTACAATGATTAGGAAATTAAGTTACCATATGATTGCTTCAATTTCACCCTCTGAATATTGTTTCTAGTTTTGATTAATAACCACTTCCTTTGGGGTTTCTGCATAGATTCTGCATAGGTTTCTGAGTGTTGTGAGGCTTTGTGTAAAATCAGACTGAAGCAGTGTTAAAACACACTAAACAAGAAATTCTCTGAATATAGTAGAAGTTCCTATTGATAGAAGTTTTTTCCAGAATGGAGCAGCTGAGCTGGATATTCAGCCTGGGAATATGCTTCTAGGAATTCCTGTTAAGAACAGTCTTAAACATCTCTTTTTGGATTCCTTGCTTTCTACCAGGTACTAGAATCTCTAATTTCCAGAGGTAAAAGAAAAAATGTACTAACTGCTTTGACACAGGAAAATATCTTTCAATGTCTATGTTGATATATGCATCAGAAAATATTTGATTGAGATTTATATGTATCTTAAACTATTTGATCTTGAATTATAATTCCACAATTGTTTTTTATATACACTGATGACCAAGTGGGTATCTTCTGTTCTCTATATTAAATTTCCTTTTATTAATTTCTAGTTCTGTAACCAAACAAGCATCCCAGAATATGTTAATTAAAGTTTGATTAAGCATTTCCTTCACCTCCTTGTCCAAATAATTTATAAAAATATTGAATGGTGCTAAGCTCAGGATTGAACACTGCAGCATGCCATTCAGTATCTCCTTCCAATTTAATAAGCAATTGTTGATGAGCACTCTTGCATTATGTTATGGCCAAATGTGGATCCACCTAATAAATGTGTCCTCTATCTATATTTAATTAAGTTTAAGACTGTAAGACTGTGAAGTACCTCATCATTCTGAGACTTATAGAAGCAGCTACTTCATTGTCCTTCACAGTCTTCAAACTGGATAGCTACATTGAACCAGTTCAGCCTGCCATCTTAAGCTTTTTTTCTGTGTCAACATGCTACCTTGAAGCAAATTGCTCCAGGAATTTATGAAGTTTCTGCCAAAAAAAAGTGCTATTTCTTATAGGTGTATTAATTTACTAAACTCATTTTATCAATACATAATACAAGTTGTAATTCTGCCCCAGATGGAAATGTTTCCCATTATTCTGCTTCTTTCTCTTCCTCTCAGTTTCATCATGATGGTATCTTGGCTCAATCTGTCTTCCATTTTTTCTGTAGTGAGGGTTGTTTTAAAAATAGCCTTTAATGTTGGAGGTGCATAATTTACTACTTTCTTCCCTCCTCTCACTTGTTTCTTTCTCTGCCCTGTGATTTTCATCTCTGGTGGATGAAAGAAAATGCCTCCAAAACTTTGAATATTTAACATGGGGGGAGGGGAAGAGCTATTAACCATTGGGGAGCACCTTTATCTCCCACCTGATTTATGTTTTGCAAAAAAAAGGCAAGAAAACCCACTGCACTTCTTCAAAATCTCTTAAATCGATAATTTACAGATTATTTCTTCCTTCTACCCCTAAATTGCACTCTGGAATGTTTTGTTCAGAAGACTGCTGTGTGCATAATATTCTTTGATTAATGCCAGGAGACAACCCTGGCTGTTTTCATCCACCTAAATTATGACTAGGAGGATAAGTGAGCCAGCAGCCTTCTGCAAATGGGATCCGAGATGGTTGACTGGAGAAGGAGACAAAATTGTATCCAAAGAATGATGAGGATGCTAATGTAGGAGATGAAATGGAACAGCTCTCTGTGGGGCTGGGCCACCAAACAAAATGTCCAAGAACAGGAATCCTGAGGGAGTAATGTTAGAGTTTATTCCAAATGAGTGTTGTTTTTTTTAAACAGTGTATATTATTTCAGTTAATTGGGGTTATTGTGAATGGGCTTGAATGACTAAATCTTGGCTTAAACAATGCTTTGACTATTCAGTTGTTGGTGAGGTATCAGAATAAAAAGAGTCTTTTTGGCACACTGGTTTACTCTGCCTGCAGACGGAAACCATTCAAAGCCCCAAAGCCTAACAACCATTCCATGCAAACACATATCCCATCACCATAAATCCCTGTGCTAGTCCTGAGCAATGGACTGCAGTCAATTTACTTCAGCCTCCTAGCCCTCTGTGAAAAGGTTAATGTAAAACCTGTAGAACAGCTTCTTTCCCCCTGGCGCTGCTGGAATCCATGAGATTAGACACAGTTGGAATTCTTGTGGCTCCAGAAGGGGGGGGGAGAGACTATATGATTCAGTGCTGATGGAATCACCCTTGATCCGTCTGTCTGGGATATAATCCTCGCTTCGGTAATTAAAATAATAATAATAATAATCAGTATTACAAGGAAAATGGTGTACAGTAAAATGTAATCAATTCTGTAGAAGCTTAACCATCTGTTAAAGGTTAAATCCTCGAAGAGTATAATGTCAGGGTATGGCGAATTTGTCCTTTGATGCATTGGGCTCTCTAATCTAGCCTAATGTTGAGACTGAAGTAAACATGTAGAAGGGGAGGAATTCCCACAGTCCCCAAGCAAAATGAATGTTGTCTTCAGTCTGGGTAAAAGTTATATCCTTAGGGGTTCTCATAGATCCTTATGATGTTTGAATTCCCCTGAAACCTTTACCAAACCACAATTTCTATCTACTTGTAAAGAATAAGCCATTGCAATTGAAGGATTATTGCTGCTACTATGGTTCATATGCATGGCCTTGAGGCATAAATCCTCATGGATCTTATGGTTTTTAAATGAGACCTCCTTGAAACCAACTTCAAATCACAAATTGCATTTCTCTACATTGAATGTGACATGACTATTATGCATCTGATAATTGGTAGTGCTGCTGTAGCTCCCAAACCTGGATCTGAGTGTTCAAGAGTTTACTTAATATCTACTTGAAGCCATCATTAAAACCTATAGCACATTCATCTACACAAATGAACCACTACAGTAATGTATCTTGTTATTTCTGACAATTATCGCAGTGCAAAAGTTCCAAGGCATGAGAAAGAGGGAGTTTTGTGTGTTCAGGCATGGCTGACTTTTCAAACAAAACATCCACAAGACTTTGTGCAGCATAGATACTAAAAGCAGAGGAAACAAAATGGAATCTTTGAGGGACCAGTTCCAACGATAATGCTTTGTGAATTAAAACAACATCCCTCAGTAAGGGTCTGAAACTTATCCTTCAAATAAGTCTGGAGCCATTCCATTACACAACTCATATCCTAATACAGAGAAATGGTTTGCAGAGGATATGGTGTTGGAAGATAGAATAGACATTGGGAGATTAAGGAAAATCATGGTTGAATCATTATGGAAACAGGTTCTAACTATGATTTGATTGCACTTTCAACTGGAAACCCATAAAGATCTATTTCTTGAATCCCTGTAGTCATTATATCTATAATTGGTTTTTTTTTTCAGATGGGCCCCAATAAAATCATGAGAATCCATGAGCATACAGGCTCCCGGTCTTTCTGTTTATTTAATTTGTTTGTTGCCTGACTTCCAAAGACTAGGCAACTTGAAAATAAAAATACTGAAGAAGAAAACTTACATAATTGTGACAGGGGGACCCTCCTCCTAACCAAAGTCCTGGAAGAAAAGCCAATTCTTCAAGCTCCTTCAAAACACCAGCAGAGGGGTCATCTAGCTCTTCAAGGAACCTCATTCCAGAAGATAGGTGCTGCTACAGAGAAGACATGCTTCCAAGGACCCAATAGATAGCATTGTTTAAACAAAGGAACCTATCGGTAGAGTGCACCAACCCTTCTAGATTGAATCAATTATGCAGATACTATGAGAAAGGTTAATGTTTTATGGTATGAATAGTGCCATAAATAATTGGATATATAATTATTATGATTCAATCTGTGCATATCTATTCTTTGTCAGTAATTTCAGCAAGGTCAGAGATAAAAACCATGAGGAATTTTGATAATCCACATTTAGATTCTTACTTTTCCTTTATTGTGGCTCCAATGAATTTAATAGTATTCTACATGAAAGATTAGCAATTTTTCAGGTGGACCCCATGTAAGAATCATAAACAACTATGTGGGGATCCAAGCTGGTTTCTCCTTGTCAGCATCAAGAAATACATCCACTGCCTATTTTTTCCACTGGAAAGTTGGGTCTTTGTGGTATAAGAATAAAAACAGTCTCCCTATGACTGTATTCACAGGACATGCTTAATCAGATCACGTAAAGGTTAAGCAGATGCATTCACACGTTACTTTGATCTTTGGATCCTGCTGCCTTGCACGAACACAGCCTGATCAGTTAGCTTGTGAATCCAACAGGCTTAATTTGATTCCTGAATGCGTACAATACAATCTTTCACCCTCATTCTCACTCTCCTTACCAAATTGGGTTAAGCCTGTTGCGCGAAGATGTCGTTCTCTCCCTCCCCACCCCACCACCCCAGTCTTGCTCTCCTTACTTCTTCGCCATATCTTCCTCTGCCTACCGAGGGGTTAATCATTCTGCCACTCGTCGTCGCAGCCGTTGGGGCTCTGGCTCGACGACGCTGTCCACCAATGCGGTGCTGAAATAGTAAGCGGGTCCTCCTTTGCTGGCTCGCTCTGCCAACCGAAAGTAGTTGGAAGTCTAAGTCAATCGATGATGAAGACGCGCAAGGGAAGGAGCGGAGGCTGCAGCTGAGGCGGAGCCAGAGCCAGTGCTCTGTCGCGTCCCTTCTGAGCCCGCCGATGTCTCTTCTCGATCGAGGCAGCGGGACTTCCCGCTGGGACTGGGAATATTGTACGGGGAAACTAGAGCTCTCCCAGAGCTTGTCGAGCTGCGCTCCGAGTTGGAGAAGACTCGAGGTGTTGCTCCTGCTAAGTTCTTGCTTGGCTTTGGCTCCGGCTCCGGCTCCAGCAGCTGGCCAACTACGCTACTCGGTACCCGAAGAACTGGACCACGGAGCCTTTGTGGCCAACATCGCGGAAGACCTAGGTCTGGATGTATCCGAATTATCAGCCAGGCGGTTTCGTATTGCGTCCCGGGCGGGGAGTAAGCAGCACCTGGAGGTGAATCTGGAAAATGGGATCCTCTTTGTTAACGAGAAAATAGATCGGGAAGAGGTGTGCGAGGGCAGCAAGGCCTGCCTCCTGCACCTGCAGCTGGTCATCGAGAGCCCTCTTGAGCTCTATCGCATCGAAGTGGAGGTGCTAGACATCAACGACAATGCACCCCGCTTCCCCTGGCAAGAATATGTGCTGGAAGTGACAGAATCAGCACTACCTGGGGCCCGCTTTCCCCTGGAGAGTGCACAGGATCCCGACGTGGGCACAAACTCCCTGCGTACTTACAGACTCAGCCCTAATGGTTATTTCTCGCTGGAGGTGCAGACTCGCAGTGACGGCAGCAAGTTTGCAGAGCTGGTGCTGGAGAGGAGTCTGGACCGAGAGCAACAGCGTAGCCACCGGGTCCTGCTCACGGCTTTGGATGGTGGTATCCCCGAGCGCTCGGGCACAGCTAGAGTTGTGATCATGGTGTTGGATGCCAACGACAATGTGCCAGTCTTTGATCAGTCCACTTACAGTGTAAGCCTGCCGGAGGATGCACCCAAGGGGACTCTGGCTATCAAGCTCAACGCTACTGACTTGGATGAGGGAACCAATGGCGAAATTGAGTATTCATTCAGTGGGCACGCTCCACTAGGTGTGCGTGAGCTTTTCAGCGTGGAGCCCCACACTGGGCAGGTGCGCCTGAAGGGCCAATTGGACTATGAGCGAGCTGACCTCCATGAGCTATATGTGCAGGCCAAGGACCGGGGCCCCTCAGCAGTTGCTATTCACTGCCGGGTGTTGGTGCACCTCCTGGACGTTAATGATAACGCACCGGAGGTGACCCTCACCTCGGTCTCCACACCAGTTTTGGAGGACGCACCTCCCGGTACTGTCATAGCTGTAATCAGCGTGCTGGATAGAGATTCCGGAGATAACGGCAAGGTGAGCTGCGAAATCCCGACTGATATACCCTTTCAGCTTCAGTCGTCTTTCCACAACTATTATGCACTAGTAACTACTGCACCACTCGACCGTGAGACTGTGCCCGAATATAATGTCAGCATCACCGCCCACGATCTGGGGTTTCCAGCGCTGGCTACCAAGAAGACCCTGAGAGTCCAGGTGTCCGATATCAACGACAACGCGCCCCGCTTCCTGCAACCCTCCTACAGCGTCTACGTGACTGAGAACAACGCTCCTGGGGCGTCGATCTGCTCCGTCAGTGCGCTGGACCCGGACTGCCAGCAGAACGCTTACTTGTCCTACTCCATCGCGGACGGCCAGATCCAGGGCATGCCCGTGGCCACCTACGTGTCCATCAACTCGGACAGCGGTCACATGTATGCTCTGCGCTCCCTGGACTACGAGCAGATTCGCAACTTCCAGATCCAAGTCGTGGCTCAGGACGCCGGCTTCCCGCCTCTTAGCGGGAACGCCACGGTCCACGTCTTCGTGTTGGATCAAAACGACAACGCCCCCCTGGTCGTGGCTCCCGTGCCCCGCAATGGTTCCGTGGCTGTGGAGGTGGTGCCTCGCTCAGCGGAGCCCGGCTACTTGGTGGGTAAAGTCTCTGCGGTGGACGCCGATGCAGGACAGAACTCGCGGCTTTCCTACCGGATGGTCCAGGCCACCGACGCCAGCCTCTTCAGCGTGGCCCTCTACACGGGCGAAATCCGCACCGTCCGCGCCTTCCTGGCCAAAGACGCCCCAAAGCACCGTCTTCTCGTCCAGGTGCGGGACAACGGACAGCCCCCGCTCTCGGCCTCTGTGGCCCTGGTGCTCTCGGTGGTGGACAGCGTGCCGGAGGTGCTCTCGGACTTCCGCGAGCTTCCTCCGGGAGGCGAGACGGCTTCTTCCAGGCTTACTCTCTATCTGATCGCCTCTCTGGGCTCCGTCTCCTTCACCTTCCTGGTGGCCATCGTTATCCTCACGGTGGTCAAGTGCCCCAAAGAGCGGCTGACCTTCCCCGACTATGCCTGCTCGCAGCTGTCTTGTGGCGGGGAGGGCGGCGGCTCCGCTGCCTTCTGCTGCTGCGGCGGCGGTTGCGGCTCCTGCGAGCGCTCGGCCCCCGCCTCGGACCGCTTCAAGAACTCCGGCAGCGCCAAGGCCCCGGTCTCCTCGGGCGACTCCGGGGACGTCGGAGCCAGCGCAGGCCCTCCGGCCTATTGCTATAAGGTCTGCCTGAGCCCCGAGTCGGCCAAGAGCGACTTCATGTTCCTGAAAGCTTGCAGTCCCGCCCCTCTGAGGAACAACGAAGCGGGCCCTCAGAACTTGCCGCCGGGTCCCGGCCCGAAAACCCGAGGGGCCAATAACTCTCAGCAGCCCGCCGACCAGGTAGCTTCCTGGGCGCCCCGATGGGGTGGGGGAGCCCTCTCCGGGAGGTAGTCTGCTAGGAAGGCAAACGGTGCCCGGAACCTGGAATACAGTAAAGTGACTTTCCAGAGGGGGAGACGCTTTCAGTCTCGCCCAACTTTTTGAAAGATTTGCAGCCCGGCCCTTTCCCCCGAAAGAGCCACCGGGCTTCGCCAGAACTCTGGCTCATTACGTAATTATTTGCCGAAACTTAGATAGATGAGATGTGGGCCAAGAGTTAGGAAAGGCCCCTGGAGCGCCGCTTCGGTCGATCTCAGCAGGCCCCCGGGTTTAGGCAATCTCGCTCCCAAACTGGGGCGTTTCCCTTCCCAGGCCGCCGCTCGGTTTGCCTCTCTTGCACCCGGGCGCGATGGGACTCGGCGGTTCGTAAGATCGGTGCCTAGGTCTCCGCGGGAGGGGGGCAGTAGTGGGGCACTTCATTCCTTTCAACTGGGAGAAGGAAGCCCAGCGGACTCGGTTGAGCTAAAGCCTCAGGCTCCGCCACTTTTGCTGAGAGTCAATTGCCCGGCTTGCATTTGCAGTGGGATCCTGCATGTCAATCGCAGAGTTGAGAAGGACCGAGCAGAGCCTTTTCTTCGCTGCTAACTGAAGGATCTAGTCGGAACCGAGTCCCCTCAGCAAGGGTCTCTGGACAAGCCAAGGACCATTGCTGAGAGAAGAGTCCTGCTGAGCTCAGGAGACTTTCCCAGACCCTGGAGTCCTTCCATGTGCCCCTCCTCATTTCCAGAGGACGGGCACCTGTTCTTTCCACTTAGGCGGCTCAGCTTGACTGGTGCTTTCTCTGTGTATCCCATCCATTGTTGGGTCCCCATCCCTATCCTGTTTCTGGCCTCATGTGAGATTAATGCCACATTGCTTTGTGCCAAAAAAGGGAGAGGATGCTTTGTGAGGGCAACAAACTCCTGGCCTTGCCAAAGAGCTGAATAAGATGAAAAAGGGGTCTAGGTTGCTGGGGGTGAGGAGGAAAAATCACCACCATTTGCTAAATCTATATTTCAATGAAGCACTGTCTTTGATAATAAAGCAGGATGGCTGAAGGTGCAAAGCAGCACATGGATAAAAAACTTGCATGCGGTTTCGCAGCTCTTTGAAAAATGCCCTCACCATTCTCTAGACAGGGTTTCTTTGTCCATTTTCATTTTCCTTGTTGGATATCCTTGTCTAATATGGTAATGTTCTTGTCAGCTCAAAACTCCCTCTAGTGACTTGATGTCTTGAGCTGATTTCCACCCCTCTTGCCTCAGGCTGATAGAGCAGACAGCGGCAAGGCCACATAATCCCCCTTAGCCAAGGGAGTTGAGGCAGTGAGAGAAAGGAGGGAGAGACTGGGGGGGGGAGAGGGGGAGGGAGGGAGAGAGAGAGAGAGGGGGGGAAATGAAACAGGTTAAGTTGTACATCTAGGGCACTGAGGCTTGGAGGCATTTATTCCTCTTAAGGCTAACTTCTTAAGAAGGAGGAAGGTGGATCTTTGCACACAATGAGATTTTGAATGAAAACAACCTCCAGCTTCTTTCTCATGTTTTCCTCTGTTCTTGTCTTTCTGAAAGAATGGTGCAGCTCCCTGTTAGCTCTTAGAAAACCTCAGAGTATAAACCACCTTGAAATGACTGAAGTGGGGCTACCCTTTACCCTTTCATTTGTACAGGAAGAATTTGGTAGCTTTAAATTGCCCTTTGCTTTACTGCTGGGATCTTCTGGGCCACAAGGGAATAAGGGAGCTCTCTGTAAGTCCATAGGAAAAAAAGGGGGGGGAATGAAAATCAATGCAAACTGAAACTGGACAAGAGCTGCAAAATAAGCATGGAAAACATTTGGAATGGAAATAGAATGTAAGATGAATTACATAAGTCTTCTATATTTTGTAAAAGGTTAATTGGTGGATCTTGTGATAGAAAGGCAGAAGTGACACTGTTCCCACAGATCTTCCCCCAGTAGAAAGACAGGCTTTGGAAAAGAATGGAATGAGCCCCCTGCCTGTTCCAGAAATGGTCTGGAATAGTATAAAGGCTTTTTGGAATAAGACAGGTACAGCACTGGAATAAGAGTTCCAGGCAGTTGAAGGGCTGATGAAGAATTATAAAGTCACCTCTGAAAATACAAGGACAGGCATTATGGGCTGAGTTGTGGCCGACATGACCAAGTCAGAAAATTATTGAGGTTATCTATCCATGCTGATTCTTCAAACACCCGATAAGGTACTTAAGATTATTAAGTTATTTTATTTTTTGTTGCACAATAAATGTGATTGGGTAGTGGAGTAAACATTACCCATTATCTCTGCAGAGAAAAGTAAGCAAACATTCAAAATCCAATGCCTTCAGTGCTACCATGTTTCCCTGAAAATAAGACCCACCCAGAAAATCAGTCTAACCTGATTTTTTAGCATGCTCCTAATATAAGCCCTACCCCAAAAATAAGCCTGGGGGTAGGTGGGCGTGGCCAGTACAGAAATTGCTGAGGACAACGGTGTCCAACCACAGCCCACACAGTGCAGGTAAGTCCAAGCACGGAGGCAGGGGAGAGGCAGGCGATCCAGATGCACTGTGCAGCCGCCTGGCTCATGGGATGCTTGTGGGAGGCTCGTGTGGCGCCACCAGTAGGAGGCAGAAGAAGAGGCATGGGAGAGGCAGGCGATCCAGATGCACTCCACAGCTGCCTGGCTTGCAGGAGGCTCACGTGGCAACATTGGCAGCAGATGGAGGCAGAAGCATGGGGGGACACATGAGATCCCAATGTGTCACCCTCTCCCTCCCATCATCTCTCAGCTTGCCCGCAGCTTGCCCACAGCCGCAGCTAGGGCAGGCGGCTGTGCGGCGCATTGGGATTCCCTGCCTCTCTCCATGCCTCTGCCTGCTGCTGGTGCCGCCATATGAGCCTCCTGTGAGCCAGGCGGCCACATAGCGCGTCTGGATCATCTGCCTCCCCCCAGCCTCTGCCTCCGCACTCAGACTTACCTGCGCTGTTCCAAGAGGGTGGCAGGCTGCGGCTGCTGCAGGACACCATTGGCCCACCATTGGCACTCACTGACTCTTGTGTGCATGTTTGGGGGTGGGGCGCCCGGCCAGACTGATCACCCTAATATCATGTTTCCCCAAAAATAAGCCCTAATGCGTCTTTTGGAGGGGAAAAAAAAAGACCAAGTCTTATTTTTGGGGAAACATGGTAGTTCAGTATTCTTTGTAATCAGTTTGCAAATCTTTTAACCATTTTCTGTGATGGCAATTAGACAGACATGTCAAACAATATTCAGCTATTTGTAATAATCACCTTAACTCTCAGTCACAACTTGGAGAAAATACTGCCTCGCTCAATAGCAATAGCAATAATAATAGCAATAGCACTTAGACTTATATACCGCTTCATAGTGCTTCACAGCCCTCTCTAAGTGGTTTACAGAGTCAGCCTATTGCCCCCAACAATCTGCGTCCTCATTTTACCCACCTTGGAAGGATGGAAGACTGATTTAACCTTGAGCCGGTGAGAACTGAACTATAATTGAATGTACAGTGAAGGAAAAAAGTATTTGATCCCCTGTTGATTTTGTACGTTTGCCCACTGACAAAGAAATGATCAGTCTATAATTTTAATGGTAGGTTTATTTTAACAGTGAGAGACAGTATAACAACAAAAAATCTAGAAAAATGCATTTCAAAAAAGTTATGGCCACAGTTCTGCTTTCCATTTTACACTAGGTGGCTGATCAGCTGGATGGAGGAAAGATGGGTCTTTGGGAACACTAATGGCTAGATGAAACTCATGGGCCCCTAGTCTCCAGATAGGGTGGTTATTTATATCTAGAACATTAAGTATATTTAATATTTTCACATTGTTGTTTTTTCCTGATTTTTTCACAAGACATCTTTGAGAGAAGCAAGTTAAGATTTCCCCTTTCTTAAGAATTTCAAGGAAACTTTAAAAGCCCCCTACTTTTAAAATCTTTGCTGCTAAGATAGTTTGACATTGCAAGTTATATAATAGTTACACATTTGATATTTTCCCCCCAACTGCCTTCAGTCTTGACTCCTAGTCACTGATGAGGATAGGTGCACTCAGTTTTCTTGGCAATATTTTTAAAAATAGTTTGTCCTTCCTTATTCCTAGGGTTGAGCAAGTGACTGTTCCAAAATCAGGAGCTTGGTAGCACCTTTTTGAACAAATAAAAGACATCCAATTTTCATGAGTTCATGAAAGGACTCCAGGATTGTTGCCACCATAGACTAACAGGGCTCTAATCCAAAGTGACTTAGTGGGCTTCCATGCTTAAGGAAAGATTAGAACTCCTGTTTCCCCATTCCTCGCCCTGCATCTTATTCATCAAAGCAACCTGGCTCTTAATATAATTAATTATATTAATTATTAATTACACTCAGAAGATTGTGGGGTTGCCCTTCTGGAACCAGTGCTCTTATTCCATTCCCAGCTATATCCTTTCTTTCTTACTTCTTCATTACAGCATAGAGAGATTTCACCCAGGACTCCACAATTTCCGCCTCTTCCCTGCCTGCCTTGTTCACTCAAGAATCGGTCGTTTAACATTTGAAATAGAGCAGAAGAAACATTATCATCCATCTCATCTCATGTTTATTTTTTTTTTCCCTCCGTCCCATTTCCCTTCAGAACCCTTCCCAAGCTTTATTGCATGCTTCCCGTGGGCCTCTGGAGAGCGCTCCTTGTTTCCATGGCGCACACTTTTCCTGCCTCCTGTCAGATACCTGGAAACCAGAGCAAGAGCAGGCGGCTGGGGAGCCGATCCCCGGCGGCCACCGCCCCCTCGGCCGAAAGAAGGCGAGGATGCTGCCGAGTTCCCCAGAACTAGCTGTCCCCGCAAGAGAAAGGCACCCCTTTAACCTCCTTTCAGGCGACGAAAGTGGCCTTTGCAAGAACCGTTCCCGCCCCCCCCGCCCCCCGAATCCCTGTCGAGGAAGAGCTTTGGCGCCTCTTGGCAAAGGCCTCCCCCTCGACAAGCTGGCTCTCTGTCGGGCGCCGAGCGAACGAGCGAGTCCCGCCCCCACCTTCCCGCTCCCTGCGATAACGAGGCCAATTAAGGCGAAAGCGTAAAACTAGGGCAATGATTTCGGGCGTTGAAATGCAGTCAAAGCAAGCGGTGCCTCTTTCAGCGAGTCTGAGAGATGCCACTACGTTTCAACCATCTCCGCGAAACACGAGGGTGCCTCTTTGCAAAGAGCGCCCCCTTTCTCCCATCAGGATGTTATTCGCCCTCAAATTAAAGAGGGCTGGACGATTCTTTGAACCCCGTATTCTTGCATAGGGATCGGGCATCTGTCGAAGCAGCTGTTCGATTTACTCCATTTTTTTGTCTTCTAACAACCGTAGCTTTTCCTGGGCTGCTTTCTTCATGCCTGTTCAGAGTCTGAAGAGAACTAGATATAGTACAGTATGTGAATGAATCGCGTCACAAGTTCAGTAAGGTATCAGTATCAGCTTAGATATTGGCACTTTTCAGAGAAGATAGCTCGCACCTTCCGATAAAAGAGCCAGCATGTGCAGATTCAGGAAGTTTAAAAGTAACAATGACACCTCTTTGGAAAGCTTTCCAACTACAGTATTGTGCTTCATATTTTTTCATTACTGAAAGAAATGTAATAATTAGAAAGAAGAGAAAAAACAGAATGCAGGAAGTTGCATTCTGTATATGCAGTATATGCAGCCCATATAGCAGTGCTATTCCTTTCTGGCAACACCCCCCCCCCCCCGCCTGCTTCTGATACTTTCAAAGGCTAACACATTTATTGTAGCAAAAACTTTTGTGAACTGCAGTTGACTTTACTGGATGTATAATGGAAAAATCAAAATATTGACTCATAAACTACTTGATATGTGTTGGCTAAATATTAATGCTCAGAGTATGGAAAATGAACACAATTATCTTAATTCTTAGTATAGGAAGACAAATATATTTCTGCAGTTATTACTGAGGCCTGATTCCTGAGTCCAGACTATAGCATCTGAAGAATAATAACCTAGTTCAAAAGAATAGAAACAGGAGGAATGGAGACAAATATCAAAACTATCCTCACTTGCTTCAAAAGCTAACTTAATGAATTCCGTGATACTGTAGAAATTATCTGGATTAAAATAAGGGGAGGGCTGACCAAAACAATTGTTCTTGGTATCTACTATTGCTGGTCCAACCAAGCAGAAAGTGTGTGGAATACTTGCCAAGTGAGGTACAAGTAGTAAAAACAGAGGACTTTTATTATCCTTACTTCAGTGGGGGGGGGGGAATATCAAGAGTGGCCTTTTCAGAAAATTTCTGAACTATGCAGCTTTTTTGTTCAGCTACTAGAGTTAAAAGGGGGACATCTGGACTACAACAGTGAGTTTACCCACCTTCTCCATTAAAAAGTGAATGTTTTTACTATTTGATTACATTTTTGTGCTTTAATATTATTTTTATTGTTCACTGAAATGCATGGAAAGTATAAAGGAATATTTTTTAATGAAAAAGTAAATTCATAAATAAGTTGCCAATATGTTTTATATTGATGAGAGCAATTGGTGTAGTGGTTAATGAACCAGGCTAGAAACTGGGGAACCAGGAGTTCTAGTCCTGCCTAAGGCATGAAGATAGCTGCATGACCTGGGGCCAGTCATTTTTTCTCATCCCTAGAAAGGAGGCAATGGCAAATCATGACTGAAAAACCTTGCCAAGAAAACTGCAAGGACTAGTCCAGGAAGTCTCCAGGAATCAATACTGACTCAAAGGTGTACAAAAATGTCTTTTACATAAAAAACTAGGAACAATACGAAAATAATAAAGGATATAAATAGAAAGTGGAAAGAGGGACACATAATAAAGAAAAGAAGGCATAGTTAGCCTGATTTGTAGAGAAATAGGATAACAGAAACTCAGTATGAACTAAGGTTCAGAAAGGATGCTAAGAAGAATTTTTCAGAATCCTAGGAAAATAAAAAGTGTTCTGTGCAAGTAATAAAAACCTAAAAGATAACAGCAAAGGTAGAATAAATTGTATATTCCATTATTTACAATAAAGCCCAGGACAGAAAATTAATAATTAACAATACATTATATAGCTGAATATTGGTTTTTATGGAAGCTTCATGCCTGACTACTTAAAATCTAGAAAGCCTTGCAGTCACCATAGCCTAGTTTCAAAAACTTATTGAAGAAATTCATGTTAAGTTAATCCTTCTAGAAGTGTAAAATGTGGTATGGATTTTCCTCAAGGACTAGCTTTCAAACAGAGATGACAGGCCATCTAACTGTGATAATGAGGCACAAAGCCCCAGAATTCCCATCTGATAGAAACCTGCTTTATGCCACTGTTGCATAGTAACTGACAATTCAAGGACAGTTCATGTCCTGACATTTCAGGAAAAGTTCTCTAATTTTCCTTCTAGCTTCTTCCTCAGGCCATTCACCATCCTAGTCAATAATTTTCTTCAATTCTGACATTTGAGGGAAAATGACTGGGTAAGAAGAATGAATGGGCGGAGGAAGAAGCAAGAAGAAAAATTGGGGAATCTGTCTTGAAATACTTCTAGCTGTTTGTGAAAACAGAAAAAATTGTTCATATTTGCTAGAGCAGGGCTTTTCAACCTTTTCACCCATTGTACCACTTTTAGGATATGGCAACATCCGAATACCACCAATCACCTAGCAAGGTGTCAAAAACTTGATGACCAAAAAAAAAAAAAGGAAAAAGTGATAAAGTACAGGTAGTCCTCGACTTACAACAGTTCACTTAGTGACTGTTCGAAGTTACAATGGCACTGAAAAAGTGCCCCCAAGTTACAGCCGAGCAAGACACCTGCCTGCCCCCCCCCGGCCACGCTCTTCCTCCCGTCCGAGGTTTTCATTGTTGTGAGCATTTCTGTTGAGGATTGGCAGCGGGGGTGGGGTGGGGGGTCTTTTGGTTTTTATTCCCCCCCCCCCCGTCTGCTGGGTGGTTGCAGCAGGTTTTGATCACTTCATATGACCCTGGGACACTGTGACCGTCATAAATATGAATCACTTGCCAAGCATCTGAATGTAAATCACAAGACCCTGAAGATGCTGCAACATTCCAGCTGATCGGTGCTTCTTCAGGGCTCAGCAGAAGCACCAGGATCAGCGCCGAGCTCCAGCTGGAGCCTGGTGCTGATCCTGGTGCTTCCGCTGAGCCCTGACAGCCCTGCAGTTCCAGCCATCTCTTGCTCAGGCTTGTGCGGTACTGCCACCGGTTCAGCTCATTCCCCTTCCCCACTACCACTTTTCTAGGATGGTCGCGTACCACCTGCCAGGTGCCAATGTACCATAGGTGGTACCTGTACCACTGGTTGAAAAGCCTTGTGCTAGAGGTTCTTCACCTAACTTGTTCAATCTTATACAGTAGTCCAAATGAAACATTATTTGATTTCTCCAAAAACTGCAGCCAGTTTATTCAAAATTTCAGGAAAATTACTTAGCTCTGATATCTGTCTTTTTCAAAATCTATGCTTGCAGCTTCTTCAGAAAGCTCAACTTCCTAATATCGGATTCCATATGGCTCCTACCATTTAGAATAAGTAGTTGCATTTCAAAAGCAGTGTCCTCTAACACTGCCAATAATTCCTGTTGGTACCATTATTCTGTTGATCAAGCCCCCAATTTTGCAAACAAAATTCAACAGTTATGCTGTAAGCAATTCCTGAAATATTGTCTAGACCAGATATGTCAAACCCGCGACGTCATGTGACATATCAGAACTTTTCCCCCATTGCCGGCAATGGAGTGGGCGCAGTTTCGTCGTGACACGATCGGCCCGTGGGCCAGCAGTTTGACACTCCTGGTCTAGACCAATTCCAAATTTCATAATTACCTTCTCCATGACGAAACTCTTGTATTTTTGGAAAAAGATGAGTTAAGGTACTTGAACATTAAATTTAGAAAAATGTTGATAGGAATTACATATGTGAATGTGTGTGTGTGTGTGTTATGTAATTATACATCTAACTCTTGATTTTGTATTATGTGTAGAAAGAAAAGAATTTGAGCGTGAACCAACTTTTGTCCCCGTCTAAATCTAAATCTGACCCAGGATGAAAATAAAACAGAAATTAAGCAAAATTCTTATTGCATTTCTTTTGTATATATAAATATTTTTATTTATTTTGTTGCTTTCATATTAACATGTCCTCAGACTCTAGGTGGAATACACAGAGGCTTCTCCAATTTAATTAACAACACTGTAAGTGAATGTCCTCCATAGCCTACCTATTATGCTGTACTGATACTCTTTCAATGATTAATGAAAGAAAAAAAAATGAGCCATGAAACACTTGTCTTTGAATGGAGGTTTTCAGGAATTAAGCCACGTTGTGATGAGCCTGGCCAGGCTGGCTAGACTTGATAAGAAATGGGAATTCAATACCATTTGGAATATTGTCCCTGCAGCTTTCCAGGACAGGTGACAGAGAAATCCCTCCAGAATCCTGAGAATTTGGTACTGACTGCTTTGAGAAAGGGTTTTAAATTTCTTGCCAGGGAGAGGAGATTTGTAGCAAGTCCTAGCTTTTGGTAAGTATTGTATTTATACTGTTTCAGTCAAGTAATTCCACATCAACTAAAGCATCCTATGGGAGAGCTTGAAAACCCCTTCTTGTCTCTTAATATTTCTTGTTTGTTGTCCTGCTATAGGCCATTATTAGTGGTTATAAAAGCAAAGCTCAAAAAGGTTACCAGAACAAATGCATGTGGTCAAGCTGTCCTGAGGATGTGTATTTAATTCAAAACTTTTTTTTTTAAATTTGTAGGTAAAACAGGCCAATGCAGACTGGCTACCAGCAAAACAACCAATACTGAAGAGGTATTATAGGATTGCCTTATTATCTTTAGGAAAATTGTTGCTAAATATTTTATGAGTGCTTATCTTATGGCTGGATCTTTTTTATTTCTTATGTTGTAGTTCACAGAGCCTAGAAGATGTAGGAAAAGTTTGGAAAGGAGTTCAGAAAGACCATGATAGATTGTGCACTTTGGTCACTCCAATGTCTGGTGAGTTTTGGACTATAGAACCCTAAAATTCAATGATTTCTGTAATTTTTGAGATAATGAAAACCTCCCTCTGATGTTCACCTCCTGTCTTACTTCGGCATCTTTGGCTTTTTGGGTTTTGGTTATTATTTCTCAGCCAGACCTGCCTATCAGGGTTGTAAGAATAAGGATAAAACTGACGATGAGAAGCAAGCAAACAAATGTATAGCTGATATGAAATAAATAAGGTCTCCTTCTAGTTAAGCTGAGTTTCAGTGACAAGTCTATGTAGTTTCCTTGACAACAGCACAAAAGGGTTTTGCCATGATTTCTTCTGGGATGGTTTTTCTTTGTTAAAAAAATGTATTTTATTGATGTTTATTATAACATAAAATATAATGAAAATAAAGATTAAGAAAAAAGGGGAATGCAGGATTTTTTTTAAAAAAAAAAGGAAAAGAAAAACGGCGTAAAAACTCATAGTTACAATCTCAACTGTTTACATTACTTACAATTATTACAAGCCAATTTTACAACTGCACAATTATTAAATCTTCAGACTAAATTCTAAATTTAATTTCTTTCTATTTCATAGAAATCAGAAGCAATACCCCAGTATAAACTTTTTAAACTTCCTTTTAACATACATACTTTCATTTTTAATAATATTTTGCAATCTTTAGGAATTATTCAAGGATTATATATATAAAAAAAACAGGAAAATAAAAATCCATTTTCAAACCATTTTATAAGCCCAAAAATGCATTGGAACTTTCTTTTAATTACATATGTCAAACCAATAAAAAATCTATCCTAACTCCCTCCAGCTTTTTTTTTTTTTTAAACTCTCAATCTAGTTTCTAGCCCTGATATCTTTCCTGGCAGTTTCCCACTCAATTATTCAGGGTCACCTACGGAGTGCCAATTGTATGTGTTTCTCTGTGTGCGTTTGTCTATGTGCGTCTGGGTGTCCATGTCTGTGTCCATATTCATATTCATATTCATATTTCATTCATTCCAGGACTGGGTTTCAACTTCAGAGGAACCCCAAATCTGAGGCAAATTGAGGCATTGTAGGAAAGATTTTTACTCACCCCAAGTAGGCAATTTGCACTAACTGCTTTTCACAGTTCAAAATCTCTGCAAACCCTATTATTTCATTGTCATATTTCTTTCACTTTTTTGTCAAAGCACTTTTTATTTCTTTTATTTCTTTTTGACAATGTATATGTTTCCATTACTATTATTTTTGTGTTTTGCTCCTTACCCCCTCTTATTTATCATTAATTAAAAAGCAATAAAATAAATTTAAAAAAAGAAAGAAAAAGAAATCTTCTGGTATTTGCTTGGGTGTTCAGTGATTGACAGGTTTCTCCCTACTTTTGAATGATCTTTGCAATCAGATCCTCATTGATACCTTTTGCATGAATTGCAAGATAATAGGGCAGGATATCTCAGGTGCTGATTGGAAAGTGGAATAGGCTGATTAGGGACAGAAGGCCAAGAATAGGTCTTAGTGAAATTTGGTAGAACAAAGGATTGTTATGAGTTTGTGGACTGCCATAAAATTATTGTCTTTTATAGCCAAATTGTCTTTTATAGCCAAAAGACAAATTACTGATTGAAATACCTATTATGGCCAAAAGTTGAGGTCCAGTCTTGGAGGCACTGTCCTGGCTGTGGCTAAGACACCATCAAAATATATACTGCTCACAAAAATAAAGGGAACATTTTACCATGGAACTGAAGGGGTTTGTGTTCCCTTTATTTTTGTGAGCAGTATATATTTGGGTGAGGAAAGAATATTAGCTTTCCTTCCTCCTGTAGCAAACAGCTGCCTTGTCCTTCTAGAGATCTGGTGCAGACTCTGCAAGTGATAGAGCACAGATGGTTTTGTGATTTCAAAATTCAGGGATCTTTTAGGTATATTCTGATTTAGAATGATTGTAGAAGGAGAGCTTGCTGCATGGCAGTGGTTGAGCACCAATTTTTTTCTATGTTAAGTTATAGGAGAAAGACAGACAATCAATGACAGAAGTAAGTAAGTAAATAAATGTATGGTAATCTTCCTGCCAGTAAAATTGAAGCTCCCATTTTCCTGAATCACTTTCTGATATGATATGTTGAACTTCTTGGGATGAATCATTCTAATAAATTGATCTATTGCTGGAGTATTGGGTTTTGCCCATGGAGTGGATTGGGAGGCCTACTCTCTGTGTTTACCCATATATCATATATGTATAGGGAAATATAATTTTACACATACAGGTAATCCTTGTTTTTTATTTAATATATAAAATACAAATACAAATAGAAATAGGAAGTTCAAGGAAGGAAAAGGAAAGGGGAAAAGAAGGTGTGAAGTACAAGGGAAAAAAGAAAAAAAGGCATTGACTTCTGACTCTTTTTAGCACAGTACAAGATAAAAACACTTCAGCCTCAACTTTTTGCTTTTACACATTAATATATATTTCTATAATGACAAATCTATTTAATTGAAATCAAAGTCAAAGTTTCATTTTTTTTTCAACACAAGCACAAAATCCAGAAGTCGTATGCAAATAAATAACATACTCAAATATATTCTCCACTTTGAATAGAATGATCAATTTAACCATGCCTCTTTTATCTTCCTTGCTGTGCAAACCTAATCATCTTTGTGACTTTTATTAACAAAGTTAACTATATTCTTTCAAATTCTTTGACCTTACCAGGAAAAATACATTTTTCCCCAACCTTTAAAAAAAAAGCTAAACTTTCTTTAAACACTTTTCTAGAATCAAAACTTTCTAATGCATCTTTTTCTTTATCTTCTTAACATATAGGTTTTAACTTCATTAATAAATTTAGCTCCCACCCTCCAAATTACCCTTATAGAATAATATTTTTGTTTTCTTTTATAAACATCCTTTTTAAAAGACAATTATTTTCTTTAAACTAATACATCATTTTCTTTAACTTTCTCTTGACACAGGTACTCTCAAATACATTTTCAATAACATTTTGCATAGTTTAAAAATTACTTAAACATTATATATATATAAAATTTACATTTTCAAATTTTGAATTAAGACTTTCAATTACAAATATCAAACAAAAAAAATCCATCCTAGATCCAGTTAACTCGTTAAGTTTAAGTCACTCCTTCCAGATCGTCTTCATGGAGTAAACTCTTCTTCTTTGGAAAGCTTATCCATAAGCCTTCCTTTTTATCATGGATTTCTCAACCTTATTAATATCCTTAAAGAAAAAGTCCCAAATTTGTGTTTTTAAAAGTTGCCAATTTTCTTGACACGTTTCTTTCACTTGTGTTGAGAGATTCATATTTAAACCATCATAATAAAAGTTAATGTCAGATTTGTATTCCAAATTTGCAATGAACTCCTCTGCATTTTCAGCTATTTGTGAAGTTGCCTCGGTAATTTGGTAACTTTCTGCCCATGTTTGCATCTCTAAAGTAATTTGAGAATTTTTTTTAAATCATCCTTGGAGCACAGCTGGTCAACAAGTTGGTGGATTTTATTTAGAGACCTTTCAAATATATCTAATAATTTGCTCCTCCATCTTAACTTGCTCTTTGATCAGGATCAGAAAATTTTAGCCACCCACAGCAAAGAAGACCAAGCTACAAATTACTACAGTAATAAACTAAAATCATAGCTTTCAGTCTTTATGTTTCTCCATCAGCTTTTTTTTTTTGCTCTTCCTTATTTTGGCCTGTCTTAGCAGCCTTCTTCCTTATTATTTAACACTAAAGAAATCCCTAAAACGGCACAGTCTTCAAAAAGGCATAGCAGGCTGTGACTAAAGAGAGCCTCTTTTAACTTGACTTAGAAAAGATTAATAGTCCTTGAAGGTGATTCAGAAATGAAAGGCACAACTTCCTGTTTGTTTGAAAGGTAAATTTTAAAACGGCGGCTTCTTCAACCATGAACAGATTACAGCCCCTCCCCCCAGCTTTTGGCAAGCAGATAGCTTTGAAGCCCAGCTCCAGAAGCTGCTTGCAGGCTTTCAGATGTGTTGGAGAGTCTTTCTTAGTCTCCCCCTGATCCGGGTGAGTCATAAAAACTGAAGGAATGCCAGTCCCTTCAGTTAGTAGCTGAAGAGCTACAGTCCAGGGAAAAACCCTCCAGGGATCCCTCTCTCTGTGTGTATTTAGTCGGCCATATTCACGGAAATTCTGCACACCTGGGTAATCCTTGAGTTACAACACACAATTTAAAAATGTTTGAAATTATGATAGACCCTCAAAAGCTATATATGACCCCATTTCAATGTTATGATGGCTGCAGCAGGCCTTTGGTCATTTGCCTTTATGACCCACCACAGGATCGCTGCAGCGCCCTCCTGCCTCTCTCTCCCCCAACCCACAGTGCTTGGGCCTCCTCCCCACATGGTCTTATGAAGTGTGCCGTAACTTGAGTTGCACAAGGAGGGCTGGCCATATATCCCCTGGCCAAGCAGCAGCAATTCAAATGCAGTTGCCATTTTGTCCCACTCCTTTGTGGGCGGGACAAAATGGTGGTCACCAGAGAAACTGCTTCATTTTGCTGCAAAGGGTTTTCACAGTGCTGCAGAAATTTCTCAATGCTGCAGAAAGCGCTGTGCAGACCTTGGTAAGTCAGCAAAATGAAGCAGTTTATCTTGGGGATATGCAGAGGAAACCCAAATGCAGCTGCCACAAAATGGTGGCCACCAGACCAACTGCTCCCTTTTGGGGTGCCTCCTGGACACATTTCACCTAAAGACTGCCACAACATGCGACTGCAGTGGGCAGGCTCCATTACAATTGTATCTTGAGGACTACCTGTATACAGACAGTCCTTGCTTAGTGACCAGAACTCTGACTGGCAAATCAGTTGATAAGTGCTACAGTTGCTAAGTGCAAAATCACATGGGCTTATGACCTTACAGTATTTCTCATTTGTTTGTTAAGTGGAGTGCTGCAGTCATGAAGTAAAACATCACATGACTGCAACTTAAAATTTTACTTCCATAATCTCTATTAACTCTTCTTGTCACAAACTGGTTGCAAAGAACATGAATGGCAATTACGTGGCCATGGGACACTGGGACGGTCATAAATGTGAGGATTGGCCAGAAAGCTTTTTTTTACACCATTGTAATTTCAAATTCAGTGGGTAAGTGAGGAATACCTATATTCCACCAAGTATAGGTGCTTTTTTTTGTCTTGGATACCTTACATTGAAACTGAAATATAATTTTGAAAAATGAAGCATTTACTTGGCATCTTCTGCAAAATGGGCAGTGTTTGATGTGTTGTGTTATCCAGAGGCTTCCCTCTATCATTAAAAAAATTGTTTTTCACAGAACATAAGAAGACATCTGGTCCCCCTAACAGCGTCCGGACCCCTCCATATGCACCCCTGTATTTACAACATATTTCTCCTCTGGATTATCAACACAATGTATATATTCCAGGAACCCCAACAACATCTGCCAATAAGGATGGCTCTGTATTTCTGGAGCAGGAGGCTAAGAACAGCTTCTCCACATTTGGAAAGAGGAAGAAAATGATCAATTATTCTGATAAACATGACAGCATGGTCATTAACAATCTGAAATAAAGTTTCTTTAGCAGGCCCGCAGACATTGCAAGCCATGCCTAAATATTTCCATGGTGCTGGAGATTTCTGACTTTAACGCTCTATGTGATTGTACATAATATAAGGGGCCAATCTACAAGCTACTTCCCCTGAAAAGATGGCAAAGAGTGAATAACTGTAATGTCAAGACATCAGGAATGACTTTAATTCATAATGAAGGCATGGATATGTCTCTTTAGACACAGGTGAATGCTAGCTCTTGGAACTGGAGAAGGAAAAAAAAGAAAGTAAAAAAGAGTGGACATAACATCCCTCCACCCACCCACCCACCCACCCACCACCCGTTTCATTTTAGAGTTCTGGTGGCTGCATTGTGTCGAAAATGCAACACAACTGGCAAGTTGAAAAAGAACACAGATGAATCATTTGTTTTACATTATGGAATATAATAAATGATTGGGGTGGAAGCAGGACAATTGTCTGAAATTCAAAGAGGTCATGGTATAGACCTTTCAACTTTTAGCAACCTTCCCCCATTTTGTAGATGAAGCAATTCTTTTTAGACTGTAAATGTTTCAGCACTGCCTTTCATTCTGTTGTGTTATCACATTTAGCAATATGGAAAATTATGTAAAGGTAAAACTACTTTTTGCCACATAGAATTTGTGAGGGTAGAGGTAATGCTTAGCAGAAATGCATTTATTTATTTCATATATGTCACTCACTGATAAAAATGTTTTCTCTTTATAACATACATTTGGATTTAAAACAAAACATTTCAATCAGCCTTTTCAGTAAAAATGGGCTTTTTAAAGAATTGAACTTTTAAACAAGAATTGTGATACCACATGCATATACAACAGGGGTGGAGCTTTCAGTGCAACCCCATGGTGTTGCTTTATCATTCTGGCAAAAGCAGCAAGCTCCTACAGAGCCCCATGCTAAATGCACACACTTCCAAGTTGAAGTCTAGAACAAAGAATCTTGCAACTAATAATACATGTTATGCTTTATTTTGAATCCATTATACACTTCTAATAAGCATTTTCAAATGAAATGAAGATGGCAAGGAGCCAGTACTGCAGCCCCTAAAGAGATATTGTGGGGAGAAAAACCCGTCTAGTGAGAATGAATGTTTTTGATATCCAATCAGACTCTGCTAAGCAAGTTAGGCTATCTCAGTGATGGCGAATCTTTTAGAAACTGAGCGCCCAAACTGCAACCCAAAACCCACTTAAGCATCGTTGAGTGCTGGGTGGGCGTGGCCCATTGGGTGGGCGTCGCTGCAGTGGTAATGGCAGACTGGGTGGGACTAAAAAGTTCAATCAATCAATTCCAACTTTGCAAGAACTTTTTTTTCCCCGCGAGAAGTTGAAATTGATTGATTGAACCTTTTTTTTTTTTGCACACAGCGGCGGAGGCCTAAAGCGAAAAGGTTTTATAAAACCCAGCTGAAGGCCTAGGACTGGGGCGATGGCGCGCGTGTCCACAGAAAGGGCTCTGAGTGCCGCCTCTGGCACCCGTGCCATAGGTTTGCCACCACTGGGCTATCTTCTGAATAGCAATTCTATAAGACTGTTACATTCTATTGAATGGATGTTATATTTTGGACCAATCTACAGCCAAATTGCTATCGCTTTCCTTCTCCCTTCAACTAATTTTACAGGGTTTTGAATACAAAGCCATCATTAAAAAAATCCCTTTGATTAAAGAACAATATCAGTATCATCTTAAAGGGTTGAAACATCTCTTTTTCTGCCATTGGTAAGTTGCATATTGCTTCACTTTCCATCTTAGTTGTGGTTTGAGTATCTGTAGTTTGGCACTTCAGCCTCACTTTTCTACAACAGCTTTAGCTTCCTGCATGGAAGTAAGAATGGAAAGAAGATAATTGAGCATTATGATATCTGGCTGAGCCTCTTACCATTATGGAATACATAATGATTTATTTTGAACCCATTCAATCTTTTATCCTTGGCATAAATAGCTCAAACTATCAAACAACAACTAGCCACAAAGGGGAGCTGAAAGGAGAATAAGAATTAATTCTATTCTAGAGTTCTAACATTGGGAATAAATTCTAGTCTATTGTTCTGGAGCTGGGCAAGACAAGTAGGAAAGTTTTGGGACACATTATATGCACTCACCACAATTGCAGCTACACCACAGTCTACTTGATGAAGACCAAAGAGAAATGAAATGGCTATAAAAATGGTTCTGTCAGATCACATGATCAGTATTTGCCTATATGCACAATTTTGCCCTGTGGACAAAATCAAAAGAAACCCATGAGTTCCCAATCTATTGAAAAACTTGATGTAGAATATATAATGGGAGAAAGGCTGATAGAATTCGAACTTAAGACAATAATAAATCTTCATTATTCTGCATTATCAATTTGTTCTTTTCATAGGCATTCCAGATTTAAATATTTGCAATTCTACCCTCATTTTTCACAATGTTGGCTTCAGCAACAAGTTCTTTGTAGAACAGGTCTATTGGACACATTTATTCAAGATAATTTTATGTGTGCACTTATGTGTATGCGTGTGAATATTTTTTTCCTTAAAAACAGTCTTTGACCTATTTGCATGGAAACAGTCTGCCAGAATCACAGAAAGAAAAATTGATTGCATTTGAATTATAGTTGACTGCTTTTTGAATAACAATACATGCAGTGCATGTTCGCTTTATAGTAATAAATTGTTCTTTAATAATCCCAAATGGAAAATTTGTTTGTTGTTGCTTTTGGGTCATGTTACTAGATAATAGAAGCAGCAATCAGTGAAAAATATTTACCGGGGTTGTGTGGGTAGAGGAATAGCTTGAAAATCTCTAAAGTGAAGTTCTAGCAGAGCTTTCTGCTGCAGTCTTTCAGAGTGTGGTTACTAGTTGAAATTACATTCTTAAATGCAAACAATATTAAACTACTTTATCTTGTGGTTTTAGGGAGGGAACCAGGCATTGTGCAAATTTTGTTAGGCAAGTTTATGGGAATATAATGCTTTATGAATGTTTTGGTGGCTTATCTTTCATTGTGGTTGAAGTTATCTCTGCATATTTAGGATGCTAAAAATTAAAAACACATTTATATCCATAACTGCAGGGCTTTGTAATCAAAGGAGAAAGTTTGCTTTGTTTGCATTTTTTCCACTGATCCAATGTAGCAAAAGTGCAAGAAAAACTGAGTTCTTACTGAAGCAGACTGGGTAGATTATATTATGAAATAAACTAGTCTCATAAGATATATTTAAGTATCAAACCCCAGAAGGTCTGGACAAGTAGTGATACCCTGTAGTTCTAAATATTTTTTTAAAATGATAGTGGGTTTTTACATACATGTTTTATAGTGTGAGGCCTGAAAGCAGGCTCTGAAATAGAGCAGGCTCTACAGTCTTCTTAAAAATTGAGTTCATGAATTCAAGTTTTAAACCTGCTCACAATCTAGTGTGGGTGGGGATGGAGACTTGATTGCAGAAACTGAATCTAGTTTTTCCATTTGAAGTAGTATATGGCTGTAGCCAGTCCTGGATATGGGAATGTGCTCCTTTCAGAGGAAGACCACTGTAGAGAGAGTAGAGAATGGGAAGCAGTACAATGTTGGCATCCAAAAAGGCATTTTTTCCAAAGCATCGTCAAGTTGAGCAGATACTGTGGTCCTTCACAGAGAATTCCTTGCCTTCATATTAGTAAATATAACTGCTTCCCTCGTATCACTGATATGATTGATGCTTTATAGACATAGTGTTGCCTCCTAATTTGGTGCACATTACACTCTTCTGGCATCCTAAGTAGGCCTTTTACAATTTGTTTGATTTTACAGGTTATTGATTTCTCACATAATTCCAATACAGTACAGCCTGATGCAATATTGATCACTTGTGAGAGACCTTGGCTGCAAAACAGCTCTGTTGAAAAGATGTAAAATATTAGCACTTTAGCTTGATTAGCATGGCCCATAGTAGAAAGTATTATTTGGTGAAACAAAATATTCTTAAAAGTGTACATGGTATTTCTAGAATTGGAAGAAAGACTGCTTCTAAGAATATCTCTCAGAAAGACATGATATCGTAATGTCAGTAATCACTAATGCTGTTGGTAGGAGAGAACCACTTTTAGTTGCAAAGTTGATAATAGATGGAAGGGAAGCTATTATCTTCAATATAGGTCAGAGTCAAATAAACACCAGATTTTAATAAACTAAAATGAAAAAATGCACACAAATTCATAAAACATGCAAATAATGCACACTATATTAGATACTTAATAGGCAGTGGTGGGATTAGCAGGTTCACACTGGTTTTGCAGAACCGATACCTAATTTTTTGTTGAGTTTGGCGAACCAGTTATGATAAATCTGTGTTTTCCAAAACACGTCTGGTTTTCGTTCAACTTCCTTCCAGGTGGGGAAAAAAAAAAACCCTCCCCAAAAGTCCAAGAGAGGAACAAAGGAAACCAAACGGAGACTTCAATCACGTCACTCAGGCGAAATTGCACGTGAGGATGCCAACCAAGAAGCAATATGGAAATATCTTAAATATTAGTTTTATTGCTTTTTGTTAGGTATTATTTAATATTTTTCATTAATATTTTAAAATTCTTTCTTATAACATAATCTAGTTTTGTGTACCTCTTTATTGTTCTTATTTAAGTATTAAATGCATGAAATAATAAACTATCTTTCGATATATTGTTTTTTTACACTTAAAATGGTCATTAGGCCAGAGAACCGGTTGTTAAATTATTTAAATCCCACCACTGATAAAAGGGCAATTTTAAAATAACACTTAAACAGAAAATTATGCAGAATTATATTAACCAGTTTTTCCATTTTATTGGTAAAGAGCTAAATAAAAAGCTGAAAATGAAAACATGTCTTCAATCTGGGATTTTAAGTTTAGGACAACAATTTCTTTTCAACAATGCAATCTGTCTTCTGGAGTATGTTGCAAGCTCAATAAATCCAAAATATTGGATTTTTTAAACAGATGCATTTCAAGTTTTCAGTATATAATTCAACACAAAATTAATGTATTTAAACATTATTTCTCTTCACAAGA